CATTTCACTTAATTAACAAAGTTTGAATGAGGTAATTGTGATGACCTAAGGGAGTGAGAGGTAATTGCGATGTAAACCCTATTTAGCCCATGTTTTTGAATTTATATTTTTTTGAGTAAGCTATATATTATAATACTCCTTCATCCCATTATATTCCTATTATTAACACATTATGTCACGGAATCTAAAAAAATTATAAAAAAGTAAAAAGTGTATGGTTAGAATTTGTTTAAGGAGAAAGAATTGTTGTTAGTCACATATTATTTACCAAAATCAAAAATTAATCTTAAAGTATTTTCTAGGAGATCAAAAAAGAAAAGTCGTAAAAAAAATTATCGGACGGATGGCATGTTACTTAACAATTAATTAAATCATAAAATATATCATAAAATATATCCTACTTAGCAATAACCCCCCATTATTGAAAGAAAAAAAATATTAGAGTAGATTGAATTTTTAAATTAAAAAAATGATGTGTACAATCAAAAAAAATTAAGAGAAGCATTATAGGGATGAATATGCTCTTATAGTTCTATTTGTAAAAATGGATTATGTTTGAGTATTTAGAGTAATTAACTTACACATTAATTAACTCTTAGCATAGTCACGTGAACATTTCAAAAGTTGATTCTGTTGGGTGATACTGCCATTGAATATGTTGACTTGCTAGAACAAAGATTTGACAAAATAAAATGGTTTACAAATTACAAGTTGCAACTATTCTATTGGCAACACATAGCCACATAGTGGCCCTGTTTGGCATCAGCATCAGAGATTAGCGTTAAAGTTTTGAAAAAGCTATACGACGATAGCCTTTAGCGTTAGCGTTTTCAGAATTAATCTGCTCCGTTAAAATTTTATCCAAAACGCTAACGCTAATCGAAAACGCTGTTACCAAACAAAGTCAGTGTCTCTCTAGCAATGCTTTTATTCAAAGGAAAGTCACAATAAGATCCTGCTATAAATATTTATGTTTGTTACTCTCTGAATAAATTTTATAATTAATTTTTTATAACAGATGTTTTCTTTATTTAATCCTTTATTTTCAAATACTATTCATGTGATTCTTATTTTATGGGTATTTTTCATAGTAATTTTTTTGACTTTTTGTCATGGTGCTAATTTAAAGGGTAAAAGTGTAATTTGACATCAATCTTATGTCTAATGATGTATTCTAAAATCGATTAGACTGACAAGTCAACAATAATTACTATGACTGTGGACTAGAATTTCAAAGAAAGACCACATCTGTAGACTATAGTTGTAGTAAAAAGCGACTGTAATTCACAAATGAAGCATTGGAAACAGTCTCTGGATTTGTGTATAACAAGAAAGATACGGAGTATATGATTATTATGAAGTTAGACTTTTAACCTTCAAATTAACATCAACATGACAAAAGATAATTAAAAAACTATTTATTAAAAGGTACCCTTAACGGAATGACCACCGGTTAACAATAGAGGCCGAGCTAAATAGGAAAAACTCATGTTATAAAGGACTAAACATGCAATATACTCTTACTCTCTCTACGTTTGTGAAAATCACTCCCTTCCAAAAGGTTCGTCACATTACTTAAAACGAAATGAAATTTCAAGTTTTATAAATCATTTTATTTAAAGATTGATATAAAAATAAAAAATAAATATAAAAAATAAAAAATATGTCAAAAGCTCTTCAAAACAAAAATTGATGAGAATATTTTACTTTATTAAATAATCAATGAAAATATACAAACAAACAAAAGTTCTCATAATTTTTGAATAGTGAAATTTGACATTCTTTTTGTGACACTCTTTAACTTAAAAAGTAAAATTATATAGTGTAACTTAAATTAAATTTATACTACATCGTACGTAGTCGGTAGTACATACAGTAAAAAAAGAAAATTAATTTAAACCACACGATTTTTTCACTAAATATTGATAACATTATTTACTACTTTCTCCAACCTATATCTTTAATTTCTTCCATTTGGACACTATTTTTCTCCACTTTATAGTTCTCAATCTTTTAATTTCGCTCTTTGTTTAATAATTATGTTAAATCAAATAATTTAAGATAATAGCATAGTGGAGTATTGGATTATATATCACGAGAGTTGGCGTGACCGACAATGTATCATTTGTCTTGCGCACACTAAACTATAGTCTTAGTAAAAAAATGTTAAAATACTAATTTAATCAAAAGTTTAAGTTTGTAGTTGTGACTCAAGAATATTTTTTATGTTCAAACACACGCCCTTCATGTGCAAACGTAATCTTTTTTGAACTTTACACGTGAAATCTTAATTTTTTAAAATTGGATGACGTTCAATTTTGAAACTGTGACCTCTTCTTAGTAACCAAGGCTTTGAAATCATGTTAAAGAATAAATTCAACTAAAAGCTCAAGTTTGTGGTTGTAGCTCAGGAAATGTTTTTTTATATTCTAACAAAATACATTACTCATGTAGTCATGTGTCTTAAATAAATTATTTTCATTATTTACATGATTAGATTATACTTATATATATATATATATATATATATATATGCATGTATGTATATATGTATATATGTAGGTATACACACACACACATATATGTATGTATGTATATGTATATATATGTATGTATGTATATATGTGTGTGTGTGTAAATAATTCACATTTATTAACCGTTATTATATTATTATATTCTTGTCATATTTTTTATTTTTTTAAATATATATATATATATATATATATATATATATATATATATATTTAAATTTTTATATTTGAAACTAATGTACAAACAAAATAGCTAAATACCATGTAGTCTAATAGTATTATTGTGCCTCTGCCTGTTATAAAGAATAGGTAACAAGTCTAAATACCAATGAGAGCAATAATAACTCTTTGAACTTTAATATGTTGAGAAAAAATACGAATACATACTCTACTTTAATAGAAATATTAATATTTAAAAATAAATTTTGATTAAATGTAGTAAATACAATGTAAACTTTATTTAAAAGAGAGAGAGAGTATATTTTATACCTTGAGGATTAAAGGGGCATGCGTAGGCTTTATTTTTTTCTCCTTGCATCTTTTTTAGTTTGAAAAGAGTTCCACTTTATGGATAAAAGTAGATTTACATTTATACTCTAAAAAGCAAAGAAAAATAGTCCATTAGTACAATAACTAATCCGTGCATGTGTGTGACTTTAGTGAGCGCATCTATTGTCTACAATATAACGAATTTAGCACCTCAACTTTGATAAAAAAAAAGTATAGATTATACTCCCTCCGTCCTAAAACTTTCTTCCTAAAGTACTATTCCAACTTCACAGAAATTTATATTTATTTGTGTTTTTTCATAGCCTATATGATAAAATAAAATATTCTTGTCACCACTTGTTTTGTTGAACTTTTGATGTAGTTTTTAAATATGTATGTTTTATTTTTTATTTTCTATACCAATATTTAAATAAAATAGATTGAAAAAACTTGGGATTTTTCTTCGTTTTGCGCAACGGGAAGAAAGTTTTAGGACGGAGGGAGTATATCAATAAAAATAATATTATTAAATTTATTTTGTTGAATTTTTTAAATTTTTTACTGAATCAATATGCAATAAAACTAAGTGATGGGAAATAATACGTGGCTCGGCCCACATTTCCCAATTATTTACGAAGGACAGCCAAACTGGACCTGTTTAATAAAATGGAGGAATAAGAGAATATTCCTCCGAATATGCTCCTCCTCCCTCCTATAAAAGGAAGGGTGCCCCCAATGTGAAAAGGAGGCCAATTTTTACACTATCCCCTGCACTTCGTTTCTCTCTCTAGATTATTGTGCATTTTCATTCTTTAAAGAGCTTCTAGCTCCACCATTAATGACTTTCGAGCCGAACTCTTGTACCGTGTACACACCCCCGATATTAATAAAAATCTCCTGTTGGCAAGGTACCGCCAAAAAAGGCCAGTGGTTTTCTCCCGATTTGGGTTTCCACGTCAAAATCCCCGTGTTTATATTTTGGTGTATTTTTAGACTAGTTTATCGTTTTAGCCGGGCTAAAAACGGTATACCGGTCGATAATTTACACCATCACTAAGTATAATTGATGTTTAAATTTGTCTAGTTTGACTTGAAAAAATTAAACTAAACGAATACACCATAACATGAGTACTATTTATGCCAATTTTGTTTCTATGCAAGTTATCCGAGTGTCCGTGTTATTTACTCCATCGTCGCTAAAAGATTACCACAATTTCACTTTTTTGTCAAATTATGGAACATTTGACCGTAAATTATGGAAAAGGTATGTTTAGTTATATACTTATATTGTGAATTTAGAAAATTTGGAATTATTTTAAAATATAGTTTTGAAATATCAAATTTTTATAAACTCTACTAATGGTGACCAATGGATACCATTAGTAGGGTACGAAGGTGTGAGTGTGTGACCTCCCATTTTAGTTTTAGGTGTGAAGTTTTAGATAACTACATTTTGACCCCTAGACTCCCATTGTGGTTTTTAAACTTTCATCACCATACTTATGGGCCTTTGATGTCTTCTCTACTCCTTTTGGGATCTTAGCTTGTCCATAGTTCGATAATTTAGATGAGCCATTTGCATTAGTTTCTTAAGAGGCAATCTAAAGAGGCTCTTGTTGTAAGCTCTAAAAGTTACAACGATTTTTAAAATGCAACAATGAGCCAAATTGCGTACAAACGTGGAGTTTCCGTTCTTGAGCCAGTTGTTGTTTGCGCGCCAACTGCAAAATGCAATTAGAACATTTGAAAGTAACCAAATCAGCAAATGAAATCTCCAAGTACTGTATTTCTGTGTCTAAATTGAATTTGCAAGAATTGAGGTATAACAGAGAGCTTATCTGGGTCATGAGCATGTCCTTGTTGGGCAACTGGTACAAGCAAGAAGGCTTCCATGGAACTGGGAGAACTCAAGAACACAATGCAAGTTTATATACCATTCTAATGCAGTACAAAATGCGGAGCGAGAGTTTTAATTGAAAATAACATCACCAGCATCACTCAATTTGACTGCGGAATTAAACTCGATTCGACTACAAATAATCTCAGTAACCTAAAGCTCAAATGAAACAACCATCCAAGAATGGTGATAAAGTAGTCTCAAAAGTATTCACAGCAAACCTACGTTAAAACACAGGACTGTCGGAAACAGAAAAAATGATCCACATTCTCCTCAAATTATGTCTATGAAACAATGAGTTGAGGTCTTTTGTAAGGACATGTCACAAGGGCGACATGCTTCATGTATACGATAAGGAAAATAGTTGTGCATCTACAAAAACGCATCGTAGGTTTTAAGTACTGAAGTTTGGGACTCCATTAATTCTGTAGTAGTATGACATTTAGAAGCTTTTAGAAGCATCTGCAGTAGAGTGGAATCTGGTCCTTTTTGTAAGATTGACTTGAGTAAAATTTCGCAAGTTCTATTGTCGGGTGAGAACCCGAGTCTTGACATCTCCTCCAGAAGTAATATAGCATCACAGTGCTCATTCTTTTTCACTAACCCGTATATCAGTTCACTGTACACCCTACTGTCTGGCATACAACCATTTTTCTCCATTTTCTTGAGCATATCTTTTGCATCTTCTAGCAAACCTTCTCGGCAAAGTCCGCTTATCATACTCGTGTAAGTTAACTTATTTGGCTGCAGACCGACTGAGGGAAGGGCATCAAAAAGTTCTATTGCACTGCATGACTTTCCATCTTTGAACAGTCCGTTTATGACAGTAGTGTAGCTAACTATATCAGGGGTGGGACTTTTAGCTTCCATCACCCTAAGTAAAGAAAGCGCTTGAGGAACACGATGGTTCTTGCAGAAGCCATCCAAAATAATATTGTAGGTGAAAAGATCAGGATATTCTCGGTTTTCTACCATCTGGTTAAAAAGCTTCTCGGCATCAGCACATCTCTCTGCTTGAAATAAGCCCTCCAACATACTGCTGTAGGTAACAACTGTTGGCTTTAGGCCAATGCTAGGGATATTTTCAAGTAATTGCATGGCCATATCTAAACACCCACTCTTGCAATATCCATTTATTAGAATATTGTAAGTGTGGATATTAGGGTCACATCCTCTACGAATCATGGTGTTTAAGAGTTCCAATGCGCTGTCCATCTTTCCTTGTAAGCAGTATCCATCCATCAAAGCACTGTACGTGATTACGTTGGGATCGACACCTTCTCGGACCATTGTCTCTACGATTTTGGCAGCATCACTGACCCACCCTTCCTTGCAAAACCCATCAACTAATATGCTATATGTATGAACATCGAGAGGAATCCTATAGTCCATCATTCTTTTCACTATCTCCTTGACCTCTCCCCATCGACTAAATACACAGAGTCCGTGAACTAAAGAACTATAGGTCACAACATCAGGAGGAATGCCCTTTTTCATCATTTTGGCAAACAGGACAAGGGCATCGTCCACCAGGGAATCCTTGCACAACGAATCAATAATGGTGCTATACGCACGTTCATCTGGCTTGTAATTTCCTTTCTCGTCAAACAAATTAAGCATGTTAATAGCTTTCCCAGTGTGTCCCGCCTTGCAGAGGCCATCAATTAGTACGAGCAAGGTGACATCACTAGGCTCGCACAGTTTCTCATTCAATAACTTGTGAAACAACCATATAGCATCTCGAACCCTACCTTGAAGGAACAACCCTTGAAGTAACGTGGTGAAAAAAACCACATTGGGTACTAGACCAAGCTTCAAGTGGGTGCCTAACATAGCGAAGCCCGAGTCTACTTGATGCAAACAGGCAAGGGAATTCGCAGCAATGGTCAGCGTGAACTGATTTACCAGAACTCCGGACGCAAAGATATCATGAAATAGAGATACGGCATGACGGTAGCGGCCCATCTTCACAACGGCATTCAAGAGATGGTTGAATTGGATAATTGGAGGACGGGGACGACTCCGGACCATGTGACGGTACAATAGAACTGCATCATCAAGCTTCTTGATGCTCTTAAACCTTGATTTACTATGATGCAAGTATGATTCATGAACATTTGGCCAAACAGCATCACCATTATGAAAAAAAGCAGTGAAATGGAAGGGAAGGTGAAGTGAAAGGAGATTACCAGGCGATAATCCACTGTTAGCCCAATTCAAAAAGCTCCCACCCACCATTAATGGCTTCCTCTTTCCTCGCCATGCCTTTTGCAGCGGTAAAACTCGAAGCGCAGTTGAATTCGCGCCCCAAAGCACCATTAACTTCTCGCTCCCATTTTTCTCAATTTCTTTTCTTTGATAGACAGAGACTGTTCGTATAAGGGTTGAGAAAGTGGGGAAGTGTTTTTTGGCCCGCCTTTTACTCATTAGGATGCAACGGGTCGGGTTTAATTTGGGTTTGGATTACAATTAAGCGGGTTGGGGTTGATTTTTTTTGGGAGATTCAGATTTTTGTTGAATCGAGTAGGGTGATATACTCCGTACTATTTAGCCCGCACTGATACAGTATCACATATTTTGATTCGGTGGGAAATTTTACATCGTACCGATCTCGATCTGGATCCCGATCCCGACTCCAAAATTTTGGTTCGGTATGATTCGGTATCAAAATCGAGATGAAAACATACACACCTAAATTAAACTCTAAAATATCACAAAAATATTTATTTTTTTATAAATCAAAAGTATATCAAAACAAAAAACATAAAAAAAGAAAAATGAAATTAACAAATGTTTATTAAACTTAGTTTATAGTATCTCACAAATTACAGTAAACGGATGATAAAAAATGATATTTCAAATGTGTGCAAATATTTTTAAATTCTTCTACAAAAAAATTAAAACTCAAATGAAAGTAGAATGTACACATAATAAAATTTGAGCCACATTCTAAAAATAATCTTACTATTCAATGAAAAAATATAAAAACAATATTATATTTATAATATATTACGGAGTATTATATATATTCAGTTCGGGATTTTCGATACGGAAAGTTACCTCGTATTGTTTCCAAATACCGAACTGAACATTCTATTCTGGAAGGTTTGGCATTTTAGCGGTATTTTTTCGGTTTGATTTTCTCGATTTTTTAGAAATTTTCGGTATCAATTCGATACTTGCTCATCCCTAGAATCGAGTTGGTAAAGGTTGATTTTGGTCGGGTCGATAAATAACAATAATAATGATAAATGTAATGAGAATGATATGAAAAAACAATTAAATAAAATTTTCAAATTATTATTGGACAAAAGTAGAATAAGTTAGAAAAAACAAAAAGAAGTTAGAAAAAGATTGAAAGAGTTAAAAAATAAGAGAAGTTCAAGCATACGTAAATTTTTCCAGGCGTACCATAAATATTGTTAATTGAGATTTAGTAGTATAAAAGATTAATTAGGTCTAAGTGCTGAGTTGGTAACAAAGGAATCACATTAAGTAAAACTTCTTCTAAGTTTAATAGATTTTATACTTCTTCTGTCCTAATTTAAGCTCATATTTACTGTTCACAGAGTCAAGCTTTAACGATATTTTTTACCCATTTCATGACTTATTTGAGAAAATAATATAGTCCTTTCACCTCTTATTTTGTAGAACTTTTGATACTGTTTTTAAATATTTAAGTTTTATTTTTGAATTTTTTTACCAATTTTAATTAAATTAAATTAAAAATAACTTCAATCAAATCTCGTAAACAACAACAAGCAATTCTATTAGGACAGAGAGAATATTTGTTAGAATGGTCATAACTTTTAAATACTTATTTCAGAATCTTTCATAAGATATACTCCCTCCGTCCCAAATTATAATGTCTGTTTACTATTCACAGGGTCAAACTTCATTCACTTTCTTTCTCTATTTTCGTTAGCAATTTGATAAAATAAAATATTATTATCACTACTAGTTTTGTAGATCTTTTGATGTAGTTTTTTAATATGTAATATTTATTTTTTAATTCTATACCATTTGTCATATGAAATGATTTGAAAATAATTTCAGTCAAACATCGTAAACCGAAACAGGCGTTATAAAATGGGACGGAGGTAGTACCATTGTATTTTCCCCATCGATAATTTTAAGTGATTTAAATAAATATTATAAAAGTAATATAAGGTAGAGGAGGTTTGATCTTTTGTGTGAGTTCCACCATCAATCTCAATCACTCGTCTCCACCTTCACAACCCTTGCTGCAATGAGCTAATCGATTAATCGTTCGTGGCGGCTATATGGGCAGGGTCCATTAGCTATGACGAGTTGGATAATTGGATTGGCTTCATGCGATAGTGGATGGCATCATTCTAAGACGATATTTGTTCGAGAATAAGTTCTAATCTGATATGATCTAATTTGGTCAGATTTGATTTGATCTCAATGTAGATATATTTAAAACTGTTTCTGATCAAATCTGGTTTGGTCTGATCTAATTCTAATTAGAATAAATATTAAGTAAAAGAAATAAGTTGAGGAGAACATGACCGAAGTTGAATAATTTTTGTATACGCGTGATGAGTTTTGTATTTGAAATGAGTATTATATTACTCTTAAATGCATATTTTGGATAAATGTAATGAGCATTATATACTATGTAATTTTTAAATATGCATCCATAGGTATTGTTTTGAGACAAAAGTATAAAAGTCCTATTTTGGTTCTATGTCTATATTTTACTCATATTTTAGTCGTTCTCCAAATGAGTATTGTATTACTCATCTATACATCTGATGGAAACCGCTTTTTCGGGGCGTCGACCCGATGAAATCGGTACCCGGTCGGCATCGCACCAAATAGCGAAATCCGAAAATTAAATAAATAAATAAATAAACAGAGAGAAAGTATTTATACGTGGAACCCAAATTGGGAGACAACCACGGGCCTTTTTAGGCGGTGCCATGCCAAAGGGGGAGGAACTTTTATTAATTTTGGGGGAATTTACATATACATCACTGTAGGAGCTTGGAGCCATTAATGGAGCTCCAAGCTAAAAGAAAAAGAAGAATGAAGAATTGTATGAACATGTTCTAGGAATCTGGCCTCCCTCCTCCCTCCTTCGTAGCCTGCATTTAAAGGGGAGAAAGAAATAATTGATGGAGACAAAAGGGGACATTGTCCATGTGAAGCCCATGTGCGGCATGTGGTTTCCATGTGGTAGTGTTCCACGGGTCCCACCAAATGTCTCCACATCACTTCAAATATATTCTTCTGTCCATATATCTCTAGTTCTGTCTTGAATAATTTATCTGATTTATATCTTGGGCCAGATAAAATTGGGCTTTCTTGTTCTGTTCAAATAATATTGGATTAGGAAAAATCTCTAATCCATCACATGCCCCCTAGTTTTGAGTCTGTCTTGGGGAACGAGACAGATTCAAAACTATATGACTCAGTAGGTTGCCTCATGGGATAAAAATTTTCTTGGAACCTCGGTAATAGGACCTTTTTTGGAGGGTCTCGTTACCTCGTGGGTAAGAATTTAACTTAGTGTATCTCGAAAGAGGACTTTTCTCGGGGATTTGGTGCCTCTTGGAAGAGGACTTTTCTCAGGGATTTGTGCCTCTTTAGAGGAGGACCTTCTCGGGACTTTGTGCCTCTTTGGAAGAGGACTTTCTCGGGACTGTGTCTCTTTAGAAGAGGACCTTCTCGAGACTTTTTGCCTCTTTGGAAGAGGACTTTCTCGGGACTTTGTGCCTCTTTAGAAGAGGACCTTCTTGGGACTTTGTGCCTCTTGAAAGAGGACTTTTCTTTCTTTTTAGTTCCTCGGGAAGAGGACTCGTTGCCTCTTGGAAGAGGACTTTTCTCAGGGATTTGGGCCTCTTAGAAGAAGACATTCTTGGGACTTGGTGCCTCTTTGGAAGAGGACTTGGTGCCTCGGGGAAGAGGACTTTTCTCGGAGCTCGGTACCTCTTGGGAGAGGACTTCTCTCGGGGATTCGTTGCCTCTGGGAAGAGGACTTTTGCTCGGGGCTCTTTTTTCAATATTCTTTGGGAGCCTCTAAACCCCCACCTGATATCTATCTGACGGTGGTTGGGCGCTCCGCTCTTATTGAATTATAGACAATCTCCGTCCACCTTTCTCTTCATCCTTGTCCCTCCAATTGAGGGGGGGCTTACTCTAATCTCTTTATAGGATTCCTTCCTTTTGGGTAGCTTGTTCTTGATGGGCTGGGCTTCAGCCCATCCTTAAGCCCCAATCCTTTTCCTTATCCTATCTTTCCTCAACCTCGGTACGGGAGTCTATGACTATCTCCAGTAATTCGATCACTTAACTTGATCTAATTACTGACCTTTGCTCTCTATTCTTTTACATTGTTACTTTTATCAACTTATACAACTCGGAACGGACCACCTGAGGCTTGATCCGTCCATTTGAGGGACCCATGAAGTTGGAGCGGTCCACTGGAGGCCAAATCCGTCCATGTGAAGGAGCCATGAGGATGGAGCGGTCCACTTGAGGCAAAATCCGTCCATTTGAGGGACCCATGAAGTTGGAGCGGTCCACTTGAGACCAAATCCGTCCATATGAAGGAGCCATGAGGATGGAGCGGTCCACTTGAGGCAAAATCTGTCCATTTGAGGGACCCATGAAGTTAAAGTGGTCCACTGGAGGCCAAATCTGTCCATGGATGGATCCTTGAAGTTGGAACGATCCATTTAAGGCTAGATACATCCATTTTTGGGACCTTTAAAGCTGGAGTGCTCAAGATCCGTCCCTAGCTTACTGAAGAGGACCATTGGAGAGGACCGCGGGAAGGACCGCCAGAGAGGACCGCCGGAGAGGACCGCTGGAGAGGACCGCGGAGAGAACCGCCGGAGGAGACTTCCGGAAAGGATTGCGGAGAGGGCTGCCAGAGAGGACCGCGGTGAGGGGCCCGCCACTTCCGTCCATAGTTCGGCGGAGGAAATCGGAGCTCGCTGGATCTCGTCGAAGATGAAGGCCCGCTTGTTGTCGATGAGGCTCACCGGAGCAAAGGGAGCTTGATGGACGAACAAGAGCAATCGCGGCCGCTGCCATCCGCGGCTCGCCGGAAAAAGTGGGAGCTCGTCGTAAGGCCGCCGCCGCTATCCGTGGCTCGTCGGAGAAAGTGGGAGCTTGCTTCTTCCGGACCAAGGTTCGCCGGAGTGGACAATTGCTAGTGGTATGGCTTGCCGCTGGATACCGCCAGAGATGAAGCACGCTAGAGGGCTCGCCGGTCTGGGAGGATACTCACCGACCCTAATGGAGGGTACTGCCGGTGTCCCCTTATCGCGTGCTCGCTGCTCGCCGGAAAGATCCCTGCGGTCCGCGGCTCAGCGGCGGAGGGAGGATTTGCCGGAGCTAGAGGAGGCGCTTGTCTACTGGACCGCCATGCTGGCCGCGGTCACCAAGGGCTCATCGAAGCTTGTCGCCGGTTATGACTTTGCCGGATCTCCAAGCGATCACGGATCTAAGCTCACCGGAGAGAGGCTCTCCAAAAGGCTCACTGGAGAAGACCGGGATTAGAGGAGTTCACCGGAGGCTCGCGGCTGCTGTCCGTGGCTCGCGGGAGGAAGGAGGAATTCCTTGAAAAACTGCGGCTGCCGTCCGTGGCTCACCAGAATAAGTGGGAACTCTTCGCACGGCCGCCGCCGCTGTCGGTGGCTCGCCATAGGAGGGTGGAGCTCGCCAGAAGAAGAAGGAACTCGCCACAGATGAAATTCATTGGATTGGGGGCTCTCTGTCACTGCCAATTACTCGCCTGAAGTTCACCGACCGATTCACTGCTCCAGATCCAATGGCCTACGAAGAGGAGGAAGGCCACCACTTTTTCTATTTCTTTCCTCCTTTTTTTTGACCCGCTGTCTCCCCTTTTTAATTTATTTCTCTCTTTTTTTTTACTTTCTCTCTTTCACTTTTTTTTCTCCATTAGAGACTCGGAGCACAAAATTTTTTGTGACCGGTCCCACGGGTGGCGCCAGTGATGGAAACCGCTTTTTTGGGGCGTCGACCCGATGAAATCGGTACCCGGTCGGCATCGCACCGAATAGCGAAATCCGAAAATTAAATAAATAAATAAATAAACAGAGAGAAAGTATTTATACGTGGAACCCAAATTGGGAGACAACCACGGGCCTTTTTAGGCGGTGCCATACCAAAGGGGGAGGAACTTTTATTAATTTCGGGGGAATTTACATATACATCACTGTAGGAGCTTGGAGCCATTAATGGAGCTCCAAGCTAAAAGAAAAAGAAGAATGAAGAATTGTATGGACATGTTGTAGGAATCTGGCCTCCCTCCTCCCTCCTTCGTAGCCTGCATTTAAAGGGGAGAAAGAAATAATTGATGGAGACAAAAGGGGACATTGTCCATGTGAAGCCCATGTGCGGCATGTGGTTTCCATGTGGTAGTGTTCCACGGGTCCCACCAAATGTCTCCACATCACTTCAAATATATTCTTCTGTCCATATATCTCTAGTTCTGTCTTGAATAATTTATCTGATTTATATCTTGGGCCAGATAAAATTGGGCTTTCTTGTTCTGTTCAAATAATATTGGATTAGGAAAAATCCCTAATCCATCAATATCATTTAAAAAGACATGAATTTTTTCCCGCCCATGCAAGACACTCATATATGGAAAGTGTTGACAACATAAATGGTAGTTTAATTATTTTACCTTAATGTTTTCCTTCCTTTTTAAGTATGTTTTCATTTTTATTTAAATGTTACACAATTTAAGCATTTAAATTAAATTAAATTAAATAGTAGTGAACCATTGGAAAATTGAAGTATGGAAATAAAATACACTCCCATTTAAATATTAAAATGAAATTTAAAAATTACAAATTAAAAAAGTATGGGCAGGATTAAAATTATTTATTTCAAACAAACTACAAATTAATTATTTATCATTAAAAAATATTATAATTTACAAGCACAAACACATAAAATGGTAAGTTTTCTAAAATAGATTAGAAAATAAATATGGCACGGTAAGTAGATGATAACATTTAAATAAAAGAATAAAATAAAAAACTCCAAATTAATATTAATACTATAATTTAAAAGAATGGAAACATTTTAAAAATGACAAATGTTCTAATTAGAAAATAAATAGATATGGTATGGTAAGCAATTAGAACCATTTAAAAACGAAACTAAAATAAATGGTAAGTTTTCTAAAATAAATTAGGTCAGTGTTCTAAAATAAAAGAGAAAATAAAATACTCCCTCCGTCCCCAATTTGATTACAAATTGCGGGTTATAGAGTAAAATTTCTTATTTTTTGAAATCATTTTATTTACAAATTGATATATCAATAAAATATAAAAATTACATATTAAACAACTACGTCAAAAGTTCTACAAAACAAGAAGTGATAGGAATATTTTATTTTATCAAATACTTAATGAAATCGCGTAAACAAAAAAAAGTTATCGAGAGAAGAAAAAAAAATTGTAATCTATTTAGGGATAGAGACAATACATCTAAAAATGACAAGTGTTCTAAAATAAATTAGAAACTAATGTGGTTTGGTAAGTAATTAGTATGATTTAAATACAAAAATAAAATAAAAAACTGCAAAATTAATATTAATACAATAATGCTATACTTTAAAACATTTTTTTAAAAAAAGGTATGTGTTCAAATTAGAAAATTAGAAAATAAATACAGAATGGTATGTCACCACGATAAGCAAATAGTACCATTTAAACACAAAATAAAATAAATGGTAAGTGTTCTAAAATAAATTAGGTAAGTGTTATAAATAAATTAGAAAATAAAATAATTATTAAAATGATAAGTATTCTAAAATATATTAGAAATTAAATACGTTACGCTAAGTAAATGATACCATTTAAATTAAAAAAATAAAAAACTACAAAATAATACTATCAATTAATACTACAATTTACAAGCATGGTAACGTGTAAAACTGGTAAGTTTTATAAAATAAATTAAAAAATAAATATGGTACATTAAGCAAATGGTACCATTTAAATGAAAAAATTAAAAAAATTATAAATTAATACTATTAATACTATAAGCATGGAAACATGTAACAATGGTATAAGTATTCTAAAATAAATACTATTAATACTATAATTTAGAAGCATGGATACGCGTAAAAATGGTAACGTAAAAATGGTAAGTGATCTAAAATAAAATAGAAAATAAATGCCATAGGGTAAGTTAATGGTACCACTTAAATACGAAAATAAAATAAAAAAATACAAATCCAAAATAAATACATTAATATGTTGAATTATTACTTAGATAAGTCAAATTATTGAATTATTATCAAGAACAATATCTGAAACATATTGAATTATTGTTACGGAAACTGGTATTTAGTCATGAGAAAGTGTATGTTACAATTTAAAGAGTAATAAATCGCAATGGCTTAAAGATTCTGATATACAACGAAGTGAATGCTCACACAAATTATACATACGAGTGATGTAGTTTATAAAGAAGTCTTTTAAAATTTGTAAATCATTTTACTTTTGTACTTTAAAATAATGAAATTTCTATATTCCATTATATACCAATTTATATTCCTAAAATGATCTTAAGTTAGTACGTTATCGTAACTATGACCCGTGCAACGCACGGGTGTGATATTAGTAAATGAATATTCAACAAATATACAACTAAAAAAATATGCGTAACAAGTATTATGTTAATCATAAATGAGCTAGGTATACATTATATGGAGTGACGTCAATTAATGAATCTAGAAATATTTGCGTAAAATCGAGCACTTCTAGAAATATTCGTGTGAATTTGTTCATAAACATTTTGAAATTAGAAATGTTCCTCCCTTGGGATGCATTAAAGTGCCCAAATAGAATATCTTGCTATACGTTTCATCGTACATGCATCTACTAAAAGGGTAAATTCATTTTAATACCAAAATTTGACAATATATTCACATACATCAAAAAACAATGGTTTACTATACAACACAAATGATGCTTGTGAGCTTGTCTCTTATCTCTCGATGCCTGTGAAATACATGATGTCAAAGCTCGGCGTGTATAGCATGGCTCTACTAAAAATATTTCATTAAGTACTTCATGCTTTATATGTTTGGGTATACTTCATGCTTTATATGTTTGGGTATACTTAGAGACCTTAACAAAAAAAAGTTGCACGATTGTTGAAAAAAGCAGCAAAAATGGTGTGAAAATGGGGAAAAGAAGCGTAATTCTTACTTTTCACGCGGAGGAAGAAAATAGAAAAAAGGTTGAGAATTAGTTCACTAAGTGTACACTTGAGAAACCAAAAGTGTTGAGAAATATGATCAAATACCAGGAAGTTAAGAGCGGCATCAGGTCACTTAAAAGCCGCAAGATCACAAGTTCTCGCAACAGAGTCTTCACTACCATATGCACCTGCATTCCATTTTCTAAAAGCCATCATAAAAATCTTCCTGTAAGTTACAGGCAACAAGAATCATCAAACGAGCCAAAAGTGAAAGACACAGATGAATAAATCTATGAACTTAATTAACTGGGATAAAGGGTATTTAAACATGAAAATTTCTATCTTTCAATGTTAGTTTTCACAAGGCATTACTGACAAAATGGAAATAAAAATGCATGCATTAGCTGAAAATCTGGAGTGTTTAAGCAACCCATGATTAATTAAAGAAAATAAGCAAGATCACCTTAATGACTTCTTTTCTAACAAATATATGATGCTCTGGAATTGGCATAATTGATCTAAATAAGGATGAAACTGGATGAGTAAAGCATCAACTCTTTAAAAAAGAAGCAGCAGAATGAAGTAATAATGTGATGAGATGATCTAACAGTTTCTAGACCTTCAATTATGTGCTTAACACCAAGGCACTATGTTGGAGTTCCCATGTCGGAAAAAGTGATGAAATACCAGTAGCATATATAAAAGGGTGAAGCTCTGCCTATTAGCTCAAGCAGGGATACCTGAGACATAAGCCTCACAATGCTGAGGCGGTCCGAAGCGGTCTGAGGCGTAAGCCTCAATTTTAATAAGAATTTCAACAATTATAATGGTTACTTTTAAAAATTTGTTGGGATTTTTTTTACAAAAAATCTTTTGGGAGTTTTGGCCCTGTGCACTGTATAGTTTCTTAAGAAAAACTTAATAAACTTAGTAAAAAATTAACCATACTTCTCTCCATCTTCAGACTTCAGTGGGACAACTTCTCTCTTGCGGCAGCGGCTAAGGGGGTTGCTTCATCTTTTAATAGCTTTTGTTCTATTTCTTTAATCTTTTTCTTTCAAATTTTAATTTTTTTGGTTCCTTCTTTTGTAGCATCCCCCCCCCCCTCTTAAATCCAGTTCAAACTTCAAAGAATGATGTAACTTTTTTCCATGAACTTTGTCCATATTTAATATTTATCTTTTTCATATTAAACTGAGGCTTACGCCTCGTAACGTCTCGAGGCTTACGCCTCAAGGCATTTTTCTCCACCTCCTCGAGGCTAGTTTTCACCTTTCAAAACCTTGCCCGACACTTTATCCGTTGTTCTCGGCCCACCGAAATTTTAACACAATCTAAATCCAAAAATAAAATGGCATGATAAATGAGATGAAACTACAAGACTACACTGCTCCGAACAAGAACTAAAGCACAAAAAAGAAAATGAAAATTTCCTTAATGATCTCAATATGCAAAGAAATTTAATATTCCGTAAATGACAACGATAGCAACCTTTTCACGTCTATATGAGGACCTGGAGGAGCGTGGATGTGAGAAAACATTGTTCTGGCTAGAGAAAACACGTGAGAGGAAGGCACGTAATCTCGAACATGAGAGACGTGTGAAATATGGGGATGTCAGTGTAGTTCGACGTAAGGTTGGGGAGGAACACGTAGAGGACTTACTTTTAGGTGCTTTTGAATGATGGCGGGGATAGAAGCTTGGTTCTATTTGCACTAAGGCAGTCTGAGAGTCACTGTAATTTTGGGTATTGTAGGTGCATTACTAAGGAAGAAGTGGTGAGGGCAATTTGCAGGATGAAGGGGGAAAGCCATAGGGCCAGACATGATTCTGGTGGAGTTCTGGAAGATAGCGGGCAGGAGCGGGTTGCTATTTCATCACTCTTTGATCTTCAAAAGCATATGCAGCAGAGTGCAATCTGGTCATCAAACAAAACCACATTACCCCTGTGGCTCAAAGGCTCCCGCCCAATGCGCGGTATGGGGGGTTGGATGCATGAAGCATGAACCCTATGTTTAAAACATAGAGAGGCGAGAGTGGTGGAATTTGATCCTTGTTGCATCACAATGCTCATTCTTTTTCAATAACCCGTGGATCAGTTCATTGTATACCCAACTATCTTGAACAACACCATTTCTCTCCATTTCCTTGATCATATATATCTTTTGCATATTCTAGCACGCCTTCTTAGCAAAGACCACTTATCAAAGTTGTGTAAGTTATCATATCTGGCCACAGATCTTTGGAGGGAAACACATTGAATAGATCTATTGCCCTGTTTGATTCTCCATCATTGTTTGGATGGTAATTTACATTCAAAGCTTAAGCATCTAATGCAGTACAAAATGCGGAGCGAGAGTTTTACTTGAAAATAACATCACCAGCGTCATTCAATTTGACTGGAATTAAACTCGATTCGACTATAAATAATCTCAGTAACCTAAAGCTCAAATGAAACAACCATCCAAGAATGGTGATGAACTACTCTCAAAAGTATTCACAGCAAACCTATGTTAAAACACAGGACTGTCAGAGACAGAAAAAATGATCGACCTTGTCCTCAAATTATGTCTATGAAACAATGAGTTGAGGTCTTTTGTAAGGACATGTCACAAAGGCAACACGCTTCATGTATACGATAAGGAAAATAGTTAAGCTTGTACAAAGACGAATCGTAGGTTTTAAGGACTGAAGTCTAGGACTCCATTAATTCTATAATAGTATGACATTTAGAAGCTTTTAGAAGCGTTTGCAGTAGAGTGGAATCTGGTCCTTTTTGTAAGATTGACTCGAGTAAAATTTTGCAAGTTCTATTGTCGGGTGAGAACCCGAGTCTTGACATCTCCTCCAGAAGTAATATAGCATCTCAAGTTCAAAAGTGCAAAAAGAGCACTTTTAGACATTATTTACATGCTTTTGTACAAAAAGGCATAAAGAGGCTTACGTTTGATTGGTCCTGCACTGTTCAAATAATCACTTCTCTGAAAGTTTAATCAACGCCAAGCACCCTCTTTGCATTGTAAGAAACTGAACACCTAGTGTTTTGCACCTTTGCCAAACAACATTGCTTTGTTATTCAATGCAGACATACAGTGCATAAGCGTATTTGTATTAGGTGTGGCAAAAGTGCAAAACACACTGAACTAAGAATTTGACTCATTTCAAAAATGGTTACAAATCAAAGAATAGACACTTTTTACCTCAAAAAGGTATTTGTAGAAATATCTTATGGGGTTTCTTCTCCTGACCACAAACAAGCCCCTTTGGTTGCTTGGGTTGACATTTGCTTCCTAAAAGAAATGGTGATTTGGGACATAGCCATGAAAAGGACATACTCTGGATCAAATGGGTCCGTATCAGACACATTAAAGGCAAGGATATTTGGGACTGCCAAAAAAAGATGCCTGGTTCTACTGGGAAAAGCTCTTACGTAGTACATACCAGAGATGATCTTGCTGATATGATGACAAACCAACCTTACACCCCGAATCTTGGCTATCAATGGCTTATGGGTCATAAACAGGATGCTAGTTGGTATACCATCGTCTGGAATAAGGCACCTATCCCTAAGCATAAGTTTATACTTTGGCTTATTTGTAGGAACACACTTCAAACTAAATGCAGGCTAAGTAAGTTCCTACACATTGATGCCAAGTGTCTACTTTGTCATGATGAAGATGAAGACTGTCAACATCTTATATGTAATTGTGATTACATTATGGAGCTCTACAAAAAGATTGGTGATTGGTCCCATTACAGGTTTGAGGGAGACAATATCGATGTGATCATTGACAAGCTGGAGTATTGGATGGAACAATAATGATTGACACATGCAGAAATACTCCTATTCAGATTTCAGATGCTATTCAAAAAAATATTTATATTCTTATTTTTCTATCCCTCATGTGGAAGAAGTGACTCTAGTATACTCAAATAGCAAATGTACCTAGAGTACATTTCATATAGTGGAAGTTCAGCTGATTACAATGTTTTATTCTTTTCAAAAAGAAAATGAAAAACATCTAAAAATAAGGCTCATCTAGGGCACAAAAGATTGAAACAAACACGGGTTCTTCCTCTGTTATTGCATATTACACTGAAAGTGTGTTCTCCAAAAACAAAATTGAAGTTCAAAGATATGAACAAACACAAACCAAGATATGGAACCAGATAACAAATAAAGAGGGAATTAGTGAGAACTTACAAGGTTTGGAAGCTCGCAATCAACTTCTTAAGTTTCCATTTATGGCTGTTAACAATAGGCAAAAAACATACGGAGTATATCAGATTGATTCTTAAGGACCAACACCATCAAACAGAGAAATATCAATTGGGGAGAAAATCACTCTTATTTCCTATTATAAAAACAAAACATATATATAGTCTAATGTAAGTCTATAGAGGAATCAAAGACAAAGTGAAAAGTAACTCAAAATGAAACAGAAGATTCCAAACACAAGCTCTTTGAAAATATGTGCGCCTAACTCCTCTAAGGTAAGAAAAGATAGATATTCCCATGTTCCATACCAAACCGCATGTTAATAATTATAAGGCAAAGAGAGGGAAGAAATTAGGATTGCCTGAGCAAAGAAGACAAACTGGGAATGAAACGGCGAGAATGGATTAGAAAATGGGGTCAGTTGGAGTGAGAGTGGGATTGGTAAGAAAATAGGGTGACTTGGTGCTACAGTAAATAAACAGGAAAGATGGAAAAAAGACTAAACTGACGTCAAGCAAACTTAATGGCCGCTTATATTATTTGGGTAAGATTCTATCTTGAGTCACGGAAAATGGTTTTGTTTGCCAAAATGTTAGCACACATTAGCTTAATGTAACATTTTGGGTTGAGAATCATTTAATAAAACAGAGGTGAATTAAAACACAGACATTTTTTCCCTCTTTCTGAATTAAGAGATCATAAAGAGATTCTGAAAAAACTCACATGCATCCAAAATCACTGCTATATTGAAAGTGAATTCAAAATATGTGTAAATATATAGGTTTTCCAAACAAGATGTATATGTGCCAATATCTAACATATTACATCACCTTGATTCATCTCTTAGTTCATCCTTTGGCACATCAACCCTCATAAATACTCCCTTTGTCCGGATTAAATTGTTAACCTTTTTGTTTTCATTTGTCTGGAATTAGTTGTCCCCTTCCAATATCTAATATAAAATATATGATGAAATGTCTAAAAGATCCTAGAGATAGAGTATGAACATTCTTGACTTGAATTATTGACAACTCATGTTGAATCACTTATTTGGCATTTTACACTTCTAATTGAAAATGAGAATTTTTAAAAATAGGACAACTAAATCCTGACCCACATTAGAAAAAAAATACAGAGTAGATGATAAAATATGGAGAACCTATTGAACCTTAACAAAAAACAGAAAACAAAAATCTGGTGGTTATGACATGGATCACCTGCAACTAAACAAAGAACGTGATGAGACTATGAGAGAGAGCGGCAGAACTATTTCTAATAGCAAACTAATCCCCTTGCTTATAACAGTTGCTACTCCAAGACACTTAGAACAACTGAAATTGTATTGTTTAAATTAATGATAAGGAAGATTGTTTTTACCTTGAAGAAACGGAAATCTTATTTTGAGACGCACAAATAAGAAATTTGAAATTTATAAGAGAGTGGGAGAAAAAATTTTAATTGCAAATCACAACATCAGTACCATTAAACTCGATTCAAGCATAATTAATTTCAGAGACCTAAAGCTCTATTCAACCAGATAAACTACACTCAAAAGTAGTCACAGTTAACCCTATGTTCAAACAGAGGACTGCCAGAAAAAAGGATCCTGCAGACTTCGGAAGGGACATAGCACAGAGGCAATGACTTGTGCATATTACAAAAGATGAATCATAGGTCTAAGGATTGAAGTCTCTAACTCCCTTAATGATGTACCAAACTACCAATATGAAATTTCTTCGAAAACATTCAAGATATGGAGTTTTGGTCACTATCCTTGATACTTAAAAGCATATGCAGCAGTGTGGAATTTGGTCCTTCTCGTAAAAATGACTTGAGTAAAATTTCGCAAGTTCTATTGTCAGGTGAGAACCCAAGTCTTGACATATCATCCAAAAGTAATAGAGCATCACAATGCTCATTCTTTTTCAGTAACCCACGTATCAGTACATTGTATGCCTCACTATCTGACATCAAATCATTTTTCTCCATTTTCTTGAGCATATCTTTTGCATCTTCTAGCAAGCCTTCTTGGCAAAGCCCACTTATCATACTTCTGTAAGTAATCACATTTGGTCGCAGACCTTTAGAGGGAAGGGCATTGAACAGTTCAATTGCAGTACATGATTTTCCGTCATTGAATAGTCCATTTATGACAATATTATAGCTAATGATATCGGGGATGGGACTTTTAGCTTCCATCATCCTCAGTAAAGAAAGCGCTTGAGGAACACGATTGTTCTTGCAGAAGCCATCCAAAATGATATTATAGGTGACAAGATCTGGATATTCTCGATTTTTTATCATTTTATTAAAAAGCTTCTCGGCATCAACACATCTCCCTACATGAAATAAACCATCCAACATAGTGTTGTAAGTAACAACGGTTGGCTTTAAGAAAATGCTATGGATTTTTTCAAATAATTGCATGGCCTTCTCTGAACACCCACTCTTGCAATATCCATTTAGTAAAATACTGTAAGTGTGGATATTAGGGTCACATCCCCTACGAATCATGGTGTTCAAGAATTCCAATGCATTGTCCATCTTTCCTTGTTTGCAGTATCCATCCACCAAAGGACTATATGTGACCGTGTCAGGATCTATGCCTTTTTTAATCATAGTATCTATGATTTTTTCAGCATCACTGATCCATCCTTCCTTGCAAAACCCATCCACTAATATGCTGTATGTAAGCAGATTGAGAGGAATCCCATAATCCATCATTCTTTTCAATAACTCCTTGACCTCTTCCCATCGGCTCAATGTACAAAGTCCATGAATTAGGGAATTGTAGGTCACAACACTGGGAAGAATGCCCTTTTCCATCATTTTGGCTAACAGGACAAGGGCATCATCCACCATTCTATCCTTGCACAAAGAATCAATAACGGTGTTATATGCAGTCACATCAGGCTTGCAGTTTTCTTTCTCATCAAACAAATTAAGCAACTTAGTAGCCTTACCAGTATGTCCTGCCTTGCAGAGGCCATCAATCAATACTAGCAATGTGACTTCACTTACCTCGCACAGTTTCTCGTTCAACAACTTCTCAAACAACCATATAGCATCTTGAACCCTGCCTTGAAGGAACAACCCTTTCAGTAAGGTGGCGAACAAAAACACGTCGGGTACAAGGCCGAGCTTCAAGTGGCTCCCTAAGATAGAAAAAACCAACTCAACTCTACGCAAACGGGCAAGGGAATTGGAGGCGATATTAAGGGTGCAATTGTCTATCGGAACTCCAGAAGCAGAGATATCTTTAAACAGAGAGACTGCATCACTGTAGCGGCCCATCTTCACAATGGAATTCAAGAGTTGGTTGAATTGGACAATCGGAGGAAAGGGTTTCATCCGGACCATTTGACTGTACAGAACAAGAGCGTCATCAAGCTTCTTGATACCCGTAAACCTTGATTTACTATGTTGCAAGTATGAATCGTGAATATTGGGCATAACAGCAACATCATTATGAAGAGCAGAGAAATGGGAGGGGAATCTGGGAAGGAATGAAAGGATGTTACCAGGCGATAATGCTCTGTTAGCCCAATTCAAAATGCTCCCACGCACTATTAATCTCATACTCGCCAAGCCCTTCGCAGCGGTAAAATTGGATGCAAGAGGCGAAATTCTTTTCTCTGAGAGAGCGAGTGGAGGGTTTTTCTTGACCCACCTGTAGCTTTTAAATATGTATGTTTTATTTTTAATTTCTATACCAATATTTAAATAAAATAAATTAAAAAAACTTGGGATTTTTCTTCATTTTGCACAACCGGAAGAAAGTTTTAGGATGGAGGAAATAATTTTCTTGAGTTAGAAAAGAAAAATGATAGGGGTACACCAAATTGTACCCCATTTGTACCCTACCCCCTCCTTGTCTACAAAAAAGGTAAGAAATTAAAATAAATAAATAAATAAAAATAAAATAAAAATAATAGTAGAGAAGCTCGTTAGAAAACTACTTATTACTCTCTATTTAGGGCATACTCTCTCTAATTAGAACAAGTTCTCATACGATCTCCATGTAGTTATATTCAAATTTATTTCTAATTTGATCTGATTCTAATAAAAATAAGTAATAATTAAAAAACTAAATTGAGGAAAGCATGGTCTTACTCTCTTATTACTTAATCTTATTATAATCAGATTAGATCAGAAAACAATTTTAATTATAACTACAATCAGATCAGAGTAGATGAGATCAGACCAAATTTTCAAAAAATCGAATCAGATCAGAAGAGAGACTTACTTGATTTTGTTGAAAAAAATTTACGAGTCTCCATTTTTAAAAAAGATATTATAGGCTATTATATTTTGTTGTAAAGATTGAGAAGGCATATTCCATCAATTGTCTCGCTTAATGACCGTTAAAAATATATTTTTCTCATTTTGCCTTTACTGTAGTCATTTAAACTGCCTTTATTTTTTATATTATATTGACAATTTTGATATTTTGAAAAATGACTGCAAACGAAATTGACAAAAACTTAATAAAAAACTTAACGTCATTAATGGAATAATAAATGGAATGTCTCCTCATAGACTTTACAATAAAATGTAAGAACTCTAATATTTTTTTATAGTAGAAGGACCTGTGAGTTATTTCAATAAAACTTGCGTCAATCGATAGTAATTTTCTGAAGTTTAGGGTTAAAATAAGGGGAAAAAGTACTTCCGAGCCTTCAAAAGGGAGCAAATAATCGGATAGTAAAAACATAATTAAATAATTAAATGGAGCTCCGATAATGAAAATGTCAAAAAATGCACTCTCAAAAGCTTAATACTCCGTATATTTTTATTGGAAAATGCTAAAAACCCCCCACCCTTGCTACCACCCATGCTCCCCCTACATAAACATGTGGTAGGGAGGCAAGAAAATTAAAATTAGAGGGTGGGTGGAGAATGGGTAGAGATAAATATGTGGTGGAGAAATGGGTGGAGGCAAGGTTGGTAGCAAGGGTGGGGGGTGTGTAGCATGGTCCATTTTTATTTGTACCCTCCATCAACTTTCTAAACCCAAAATTTATTTAAATTATTGGATTTAGATTCTTAAAATTGAATTTTGAATTTCAATTTACAAAGGAAATGTATGGATTTGTAATTAAGTTTTGTTGTGAATTAGAGCAATTTTGACTAAATCTAAATTCAAATTCAAGATTTTGAAACATATAATTTTAGTCAAATATGATTTTTTCAATAATTTAAAGTAGAAATTCTTTCCTTTAAAAAAATTCAAAACCTCAACAAAAAATCAAAAAAAAACAAAATGGGTTGCGAATTTCCCATTGTACAAAAAAGAGTTTTTTTTCTTGCACTATGTTTGGCTGAAGAATTTTGGAAGGAAAGGAAAAGAAAATGGTTTTCTCTCATTTTCCTCACCAAAGTGGAAGGAATTTGAAATTTTGCCTCCTCATTTTCTTTTTCTTCCACTTTTCTTTTTTTTTCCCCTCTAACTAAATAAGAAAAATGATTTTCCACTTCATTTTCTTTTCTTTTCCCTTTCAAATTCCTTGAACCAAACATAGTGTTAAGGATTTTGTTTTTTTTAAGTTGACAAATCGAAAGAGGACACAAATGATACAATGTCAAATACCTGAGAGTTGACATTTTTTATAAGTAATGGTGCATTTTTATTACTCCGTGTTTGTAACATTGTTAGATCGTTCAAACTAGAAAATAAAATGGAAAGAAAAGAAAAAGATAGAAAAAAATACTCTTAAAGAAAAGGTAAAATGTCCCATAGAGTGTGTTGATAAGGTTCTTTTTTGAGACATCCAAAAAAATTTCTTATTTTTTAAGATTCCTAAAAAGTTTATTCTTTTTCATTTTAACAATCAAAAGAGGACTTTTTTTTATTAATTTTTGACTCTTTGGGTGCCAGTCCATTATTTCCTCTCATGCTCACAAAAAATTATCCAAAAATATTTATATTCTATGATGTCCCAAAAAAGCATTTCATGTGTATGTTTTTTAATAAGACTTTTTTTTAATTTGCATATTTTTCTATCTTTTCATTTCCTTATTTTATTTCCTATTTCTATTTTTAGTTTTATTTTTATAAAATTACCAAAAAATATTTTTTATTTTGGTAAAAATGAAAATGTTTAACTTTAGACAAATGAAATATATATTAATTTTTTAATTAGTTACTTTTATTTAAAATAAATTTTTGAATTTGAAAACGTTATAAAGTATAAAGTACAGTTTACAATAATTAAAAATGAAGAGGGTGTATTCAATCCAGATTCCGTAAGATTTTTTTAGATTTTAAAATTTAGTAAGTATTCACTTGAGATTTTATAAAATTCTTTAAAATCTGATGGTATTCAAATTAGACTTTGAAATGTCTCTCAAAGTTTAATGGTACTCCCTCCGTTCTGTAATGTTCTTCCCACTTACTATTAACATGATCAAACTTTAATCACTTTCTTTAAAACTTTTGATGTAGTTTTTAAATATATAAATTTTATTTTTTTAATTTTACACCTACAATCAAATAAATTGAATTAAAAATAATGTCAGTCAAACTTCATAAACAGAACTGGGAAGAACATTATAGGACGGATGAAGTATTAAACACTCCATCAATTTAGAATGATTTTTATTAAGAGTAATGCTAGGGGTACATCAAAAGGTGTATCCCAAATGTACACCACCCTCCTTTCCTCCACACATTTTTTATTTGATTTTTATTTACTTATTTTTTAAAATTCTTTTGCCTTTTTTAGTGGACAAGGAGGGGGTGGGGGATATTTGGGGTACACCTGTACCCCTAGCATTTTTCTTTTTATTAAAGGTAGATTTTGATGGATTTGATGCTATTTTTCTAAAGGAAACATTACAAACAAATCATTTGCCACATTCAAAGATTTCAAAGTATTTTGGCTCCAAGTCTTTCTCCACTTTGGATACAAGCTTAGATCTAGTGGCCGAAAGCCGTCCAATCCGAGACACCAAAGTCTTGCCCTATGTCCAATAGATCTGAGCCAGACTGCAACATTTTCAAGATTCGCCGGAGTCGTTCTGGCCGGGACGGTGGCGCCGTCCTACTGTCGGGGAGTAAGGGTGGCAATGGCATCGACCTAGGGCTTAGACTTCTTGGATGGTGGTGACGTCTCAGACCCATCACGGAAAAGGGACGCCGGCGAACAGATCTGTAAAAATGAAGGGGGAGAAGGAGGGGAAGAAAAAGATAGCTGGATCGAATAGACAGAGGAGAAAGAAGGTGGGGAAGAGGAGGAAGAGGAGAGAAAAAGGACAAAAATAAAAAGGGAGAATGAAAAAAAAAAGACAAATTAATTCATACGGAGTAGATTTAAAACAATCCATACACTTCACATAATCTATGGATTTTAAACAATATATCAAAATCTTTTAAAATCTGAATTGAATACACCTCCATGAATGTAGTATAATGGACTTTGGTTTAAAAAAATAGACACCAATTCTCCCTATTTGTGAGAAAAAATGAATGAAAAATCTTCCGAGGGGTGGGTAGGTGTGCATTCTTTTCTCGAAAGTGCGTTCGAAGTACCTGAATTATTTTAAATACTTACTAAGTCATTATACATTTTTAAAAATTTATGGTATAACGTAACCTCATTTTTTACAATGACTTTGTTTTAAAAAAACCACCAAAGCAACTAGGAGTATTTGGGAAAAAAATTAAAGTAGGAGTAAAACATTTAAAATATACCAAAATAGGAATTTTATATTTTTTCATGAAATAGGAGTTAAAGTGCATTTACACTGCCAGTCATGACCATGTACATTACCAAAAGTATAGTAAAATATACATGTACAGTGCTATATTAGCACAATGGAAACTCCTATATAGGGTATAAAAACTTGGAACTCCTATATTGGTATTTTCTCTATGTTTTATTCCTATTTAGGATTATTTCTCGAGTATATTTTCAAAATATTGTTTTATCTAAGTATTATACAGTATATATTTTATAATTATAGGTCAAAGGTTGAAAACGATTGTCTAAAAAAAGCCAAAATTCGACAAACACTCCGAGACAGAGGTAGTTTGAGTTTGTCTTTTGCCTACAAAAAGAAAGTGTATTATTCCGTATTTTCTAATTATAACTCATCATCAATTCGATCTACACATTATATCCTACCTACTGGCGGATATAGTATATATTAGTTGGGGGCCAATTCCCCCTACTAATTTTTTTGTAGTAAGTTAATTATTTTTTTTTGCAAATATGTATATGCCCCCAATTAAATTAAGGAGACCCCATGTAAATAGTTTAATTTTTACCTTTTTGTTTAATTGTTTTTAAAAAGTGTTTTTATTACATATAAATATTGTTCATAAAATAGATATTTACATTACCTATTGAAAAAAGCTTCACTTTCAATAAATGTTTGAAGTAAAATTCATTATTTTTTGTCATTTCATTTCACGGAGTACCTATTTTTTATAAACAAAACATCTTGGGGCAGCGCCCCCGGATCCCTGATCCATGGTGTTCCAAGTGTCTTAATTCCTGGATCCGTCATGATCCTACCTTGTTAATTATTAGTGAAGACAAAATTAGAAAATAAATATTTAAATAAGTTTTAAGAAGTACATCATTGTTAAAATTAGATCTATAATTTGATAAAACTGACTTTCAACATGTTATATATTGATTATAATTTTATTTAAATTTCCATTACTCATAAAAT